GAGATTCCTGTCGACCTGTCCAACTCATCGGCAGATGCTCACGGGGTGCATCAGGCGCCAGGTCCAAAACTGACCGCCCTGACTTCGCTGTCGTAGCTCCTTTGTCTTTCTTTGAATAATTTCGACGCAACTGCCTAACGGGCGCATTTCATCGATTTGAGCAACAAAACATTGTCGCTAACCTTTTAATACCCCGAGAACTCGATCACTGTATTTATAGCGACAAATACCGACATCATGGACGACTACGAGAACGAATCCGACTACGATTATGGCTACGATGAGGGTATCACCCCCGAGGATTGCTGGACCGTGATCTCGTCCTTCTTCGAGACAAAGGGTCTTGCATCGCAACAGACCGATTCCTTTGACGAGTTCACGCAGACAATGGTACAGGACCTCGTCAACGAGTACTCCACCATCACCCTCGACCAGCACAACCCTCCTGCGCCTCCTGGAGTCAACATCGCTTTGCGACGATATGAGATCAAGTTTGGGAGCGTCATGGTGTCACGTCCCTCTATGAGCGAGACTGATGGAACTGTGACCAACCTCCTACCTTACGAATGTCGTGACCGAAACCTCACCTATGCCGCACCGACCTACCTCAAGATCACCAAGAAAGTCTCCGTCGCAGTCGATAAGGAGATCCCTTTGCACGAGATGGACGACGAGCAGCAGGCTGAGTACAAGCGAACCGGCGAAAATCCCACAAAGCTGGTATGGGAAGTCGAGGAGGATGCTCAAAGCATGAAAGCTGAGGATGAACCATCGGAGATGATCTTCATCGGGAAAATGCCTATCATGGTCAAGTCCAAGATTTGCCATCTGAGCAGCCATTCAGATGAGGACCTCTTCATGCTCAATGAGTGTCCTTATGATCAGGGTGGTTACTTCGTTATCAACGGCAGTGAGAAGGTCCTGATCGCCCAGGAACGTTCTGCTGCCAACATCGTTCAAGTCTTCAAGAAGGCCCAGCCTAGCCCTTACACCTACACTGCTGAAATCCGCAGTGCTCTTGAGAAGGGGTCTCGTCTTATCTCCAGTCTTACGATGAAGCTCTACGGCAAGGGAGATTCAGCACGAGGTGGCTTTGGCCAAACTATCCAGGCTACCCTGCCTTTCGTCAAGGCAGATCTTCCTGTCGCCATCGTCTTCCGAGCTCTTGGTGTTGTATCTGATGAGGATATTCTGAACCACATTTGCTACGACCGAAACGATAGCCAGATGCTGGAAATGCTTCGCCCTTGTATTGAGGAGGCTTTCTGTGTCCAGGACCGAGAAGTTGCTCTTGACTTTATCGGAAAGCGTGGAAACAGAGACCAGGCCAGTCTCGGTCGTGAGAAGCGTGTTCGTGTTGCAAAGGATATTCTCCAAAAAGAGACCCTGCCCCATATCTCCCAATCAGAGGGTAGTGAGACTCGCAAGGCCTTCTTCTTGGGTTACATGGTGCACAAACTGCTACAGTGCGCTCTTGGACGTCGTGAGCCCGATGATCGTGATCACTTTGGCAAGAAGCGACTTGATCTGGCTGGTCCTCTGCTGGCGAAGCTCTTCCGTGGTATCATTCGAAGAATAAACACTGAGCTTTCCAACTACCTCAAGCGATGTGTTGAGAGCAACCGGAACTTTAACCTGACTGTCGCTATCAAGCCATCAACCCTTTCCAACGGTCTCAAGTACTCTCTAGCCACTGGTAACTGGGGCGACCAGAAGAAGGCAGCAAGCTCGACAGCTGGTGTCTCTCAGGTCTTGAACAGATACACCTTTGCTTCTACTCTTTCACATTTGCGTCGAACCAATACTCCCATTGGACGAGATGGTAAATTGGCCAAGCCTCGACAGCTTCACAACACACACTGGGGTTTGGTCTGTCCTGCAGAAACACCTGAGGGTCAAGCTTGTGGTCTGGTCAAGAACTTGTCTCTGATGTGTTACGTGAGTGTTGGCTCTCCAGCCGATCCTCTGATTGAATTCATGATCAACAGAGGTATGGAAGTCGTTGAGGAGTACGAGCCGACAAGATACCCCCACGCTACAAAGATTTTCGTCAATGGTAGCTGGGTTGGTGTTCATGCCGACCCCAAGCATCTCGTGAATCAGGTCTTGGACACAAGACGAAAGTCGTACGTGCAGTTCGAAGTATCACTTGTTCGTGATATTCGAGACCGTGAATTCAAGATTTTCTCAGACGCTGGTCGTGTCATGAGACCAGTTTTTACAGTTCACCAGGAGGATGACTACGAGAACAACATCACCAAGGGACAACTAGTGTTGACAAAGGACCTTGTCAATAAACTAGCCCAGGAACAGGCAGAGCCTCCTGCTGATCCAGCGGACAAGCTTGGATGGGATGGCTTGATTCGTGAAGGAGCTGTCGAGTATCTCGATGCTGAGGAAGAAGAGACAGCCATGATTTGCATGACGCCAGAGGATCTCGAACTTTACCGTGAGCAAAAGAATGATGAGGTTACACTCACGGAAGAAGAGAAACGGGCCAAGCAAGAGGCAGAGAAAAGGGAACAAGAGGAGGACCGCAACAAGCGATTGAAGACAAAGGTCAACCCCACAACTCACATGTACACACATTGTGAGATTCACCCCAGTATGATTCTCGGTATCTGCGCCAGTATCATTCCTTTCCCCGATCATAACCAGGTATGTATCTCCTATGATCATAATGAACTCAACTAACAGCAGCAGTCTCCTCGTAACACCTACCAATCTGCTATGGGTAAACAAGCCATGGGTTTCTTCTTAACAAATTACTCTCGCCGCATGGACACCATGGCCAACATTCTCTACTATCCTCAAAAGCCTCTCGCCACTACTCGATCCATGGAGTTCCTCAAGTTCCGTGAATTGCCAGCCGGTCAAAATGCCATTGTCGCAATTGCTTGCTACTCAGGTTATAACCAGGAAGATTCCGTCATTATGAACCAGAGTAGTATCGATCGAGGTCTGTTCCGAAGTCTGTTCTTCCGATCATACTCAGATCAGGAGAAGAAGGTCGGTCTCAACTACACTGAGATCTTTGAGAAGCCTTTCCAGCAGACAACACTTCGAATGAAGCATGGAACATACGACAAGCTTGATGAGGATGGTATCGTGGCTCCTGGTGTCCGTGTGTCAGGTGAGGATATCATTATCGGCAAGACTGCACCCATCGACCAAGAAAACCAGGACCTTGGCACAAGAACTCAATCACACCAACGTCGTGATATCTCGACACCGCTGCGAAGTACTGAGAACGGTATCGTTGATCAAGTTATTCTGACAGTCAACGCCGATAATGTCAAGTACGTCAAGGTTCGAGTACGAACAACCAAGATTCCTCAAATTGGTGACAAGTTTGCTTCTCGCCACGGTCAAAAGGGTACAATCGGTGTTACATATCGACAGGAGGATATGCCTTTCAGCCGAGAAGGTCTTACTCCCGATATCATTATCAACCCTCACGCCATTCCGTCGCGAATGACAATTGCCCATTTGATTGAGTGTCTTCTTAGCAAGGTTTCAACGCTGGAAGGTATGGAGGGTGACGCTACACCGTTCACTGATGTCACAGTCGATTCAGTCTCAGAACTTCTGAGGAAACACGGTTACCAATCTCGAGGTTTCGAGGTCATGTACAATGGTCACACTGGACGAAAGCTTCGTGCTCAGGTGTTCTTCGGACCTACCTACTACCAGCGTCTTCGTCACATGGTGGACGACAAGATTCACGCTCGTGCTCGCGGTCCAGTTCAGATCATGACCAGACAACCTGTCGAAGGTCGTGCTCGTGATGGTGGTCTCCGATTCGGAGAAATGGAACGTGATTGTATGATTGCTCACGGTGCCGCTGCTTTCCTGAAGGAGCGTCTGTTTGAGGTGTCGGATGCTTTCCGTGTCCACGTCTGTGAGATCTGTGGACTCATGACACCAATTGCGTAAGTTTTACTCCTACAATAACCATGATTACGTACTAACATGTTCCAGCAATCTTTCCAAACAGTCATTCGAATGCCGACCTTGCAAGAACAAGACCAAGATCGCGCAAATCCATATTCCCTACGCTGCCAAGCTGCTCTTCCAGGAGTTGCAGGCCATGAACATCGCCGCAAGAATGTTTACCAACAGATCTGGAGTTTCAAACCGATAATTTAGATTGATTACGAAAAAAGATTGATGATGCATAAAATATTGGAGAGAGGGAAAGTTTTGGCAGCGCTGCAAGACAGGAGCAGCTTGCCTGTGCTTTGTAATGTTTGGGGGAGGTTCATCATGTATAAAATAGCCAATTCGTTAGGAATTTAAATAGCAAAACAACGAAATGCATTGATGCAACAAAAAATCTATAATGGCGCCGTAGTCGCTAGAGAGGAGTATGGTGATAATACAATTTTTCTTTTAACTTTCCCGCCGTCTTTGATGTTATCGATTCGGAAGACTCTTCTCGGCCGCTGCTATCGAGTCGTGCACTGTCTGCTCGCGCTTGTATTCTGCTTCCAGTTGTTTCTGCATGTCAAAGTCCAATTGTCTTTCTCGCTTGATTCGTTGTTGCTCCATATCTCGAACGACGCCTTCGTGCATGGCCTATGATCATGGTTAGCTCAGAGTTCTAGGGGACGCTGGAGGGTGTATTGGGGGATCAATTGAGAAGTGGGAAACGTACGGCTTGTTCGAACTTTTGCTGGAAGTGTACAGCGACGACTGTGCCGACTGTGAGTAGCGATGTACCCAGCAGGGTGAGCTTTGATGCTCGAGACATGATGGACTCGCGGTTTCTTCGTTGAAGTCGGGAATGGTCGGTAGGTAGATCGCCGGTCGCTGAAGGGATTGCCGGTTTGCGACAGGTAAAAAGGAAGTCAATTGACTCAGACAAAGGCAATTCGAGCACCAAACGACCAGAAAAAGATTATGATCAAAGTCGCAAAGAAGGGACTTTATCAGCCCATGACGTTTCAAGCGCACAGCGTCTCCCGCGGTTCCCACACGCGCTAAGCGCTGTAGCTCTCCCCCCTTCCGCCCTAAACAAGTAACGTACCTTACCTAGCGGTACCTGCGAATCAGCTGCCCGAGCTCAGCACCCGACGTAATCCTCCATCAAGTGCTTGTATGCAACCATTCGCAACATCAACTCCATCAACAACGACGCCATCACGGATACTCCTCGAGCCTTTTAACACGATAATTTCCCCCACCGAATAGATCGCTTTATTGTCACGTTTGATACTACGACATCATGGTTAGATACTTCGCGATAACAAGGAGGATGATGGCTAATGATTCGTAGTCTGCCCAGAACTCAGCTGGTATTCAACAGCTGCTCAACGTACGCTGCATCGAGCGCTTGTATTCTCATCAACCGGGAGACTGACCTGCATTACTAGGCTGAGCAAGATGCTTCCAAGATTGTCCAGAAGGGTACGCTACAACCTCATCTCCCTGCCTTGTTTATAGCGTAACTAACAACACTTCACAGCTCGAGAATGTAAGCGCCATTTCCTCACGAACCGATGAATCACCTACCTAATAGTACCGAATGATAGACCGTACCAAGCGCGTCAGGGAAGCTCGCGATGAGGCCAAGCAAGAGATAGCCAACTACAAAGCCAAGAAGGAAGAAGAATATAAGAAATTCGAGGCCGAGGTATGATTCTCTCCGTCTGAACGGCGTACCGTCCATCAGAACGAGATACCGCCAACCTCAACGATGGAAGAATACTGATGGTCGTACAGCACAGCAAGGGCAACGAGCAAGCCGAGGCCGAAGCCAACCAGGAAGCCGAGAAGCAAATCAAGAGCATCCAGGAGGCTGGCAAGAAGGGACAAGCTCAGGTCATCAAGAACCTCCTCAGCGCTGTCTTCGACGTCAACCCCGTTCCCCCCACCAAGTCCTGAACGATGGAGTACTAGATGTTTATAATTACGAGCTTTTCAGCTTGACACACGAAGATGCGAATAGACGAGGAGGATTTGTGTTACAAGACCAAATGCGTGGTCACCCTGCAGCGTTCCCTTCTAAAGGACGCACGTTTTTGAATTATTAGGTTTTTTACTGAACAAACTCGACTAGAGTGCTCAACATGTCCCTCAGATCCTGGTTCTCCTCCGTGGTGTCTAGACCGTCCAGTTGTTCCTTTAATGTACGACCGATTACAGATACCTTTTCATCGCGTTCGGCGAGGATTTGTTTGATCTTACGTGCTGCTCCTGTGTCTTCTGCTACTAACCAAGCTAGAACTGTATCGATGGTCTGTAGTGTGAAAAGACCGGCGTCGATTCTTCGGGATAGCCATTCCAGCTCGGCTGCTTCCCGATCATCTTCTGAAGTGGTGGCTTTTTCAGCGTCGTTTTGTTGTTCTGCTAATGAAACGCGAGCGACGTAGTCTCGTCGGAATTTGATGAGTTTTGAGATCTTTTCGTAGTCCTTTTCCACAAACTTGGCTAGTGTTCGTATCCTCTCTGCAGAGTTAGCTGGTAGAAGACGCAACATCGAGGCGAAAATCTCGACCAGATGTTCTGCTAATCGATGATCTTGCGTCTTCATGAAGAGTGTAAAGAGACCCTTGAGACCGCCAGCCTCGACGATCTTCTGACAGACGTCCACACCAGCGTTACCACCTGCAGCGTGGTTGAGCAGACGAAGAGCAGGTGGTTTACTCTTCTTTCCCTCCTTGAGCATGATAAGACAAAGTTCTACACCCTCAGCGTCGATGAATTTTGTCTTTCCTGCGGGTTCGTCTGCTAAGCATGTTAAAGATGCAAATATATTCTCCATGTACTCTTCTTCATCACCGCCCTTGTCAGGATCGCGTCGTCGGTAGGGGGCAATGAGCTGAAGAAGCAAGTCAACGGCATCGAGGTTTATGAGTTTTGTGCGGTTGGCGACGGCCATCTGTGCGAGAATGGCCAAGATTTCTGCAGCGTATTGCTTGTTTTGGGAAACAGTGTCTTCCTTTCGTTGAATGCGCTGAAGAAGCCATTGTAGTAGTTTCTCATCCTCTCCTACGCGCTCAGCGACTGATTGTCGAGAGCACAGGTTTTCAATGAGTCCCAAAGCATGATAGATACCATTTCGATCTGACTCATCGTCTTCGTTTAGGCGGGAGAAGTTGGAAACTAGTAAACTGAGAAGATCTGCCTCCATCATGGCATCTACCAGCACGTTCCATTGCTCATCTTCCGCTGCGACGTCTTCGTCTGTCAACTCGCCCATAACCTCGATCGCGTCGATGGCAATATCGGTATTGTCGTGCGCCAGCAGACCAACCACACTGGCTACGCATTCTAGCTTGACAAACTCTGGATACAGTTCAGGATGTTCAGAGAGCAGCGACAGCCCCTTGATGTCGGCGTCTAGGTCAGCCTCACTGCCGATGAACTTCTGCGGTTGATCCTCGAACTTGGCGCGAAGCTCAGCATTCTTGTTGATGTGCCTCTCCAAGTTCGTCAATGTTTTTCGCAACCATGCTGCATCGATCTTTTCAGGCGCTCGGCCAGCATCGGCTTCCTCTACGTAATCGAGGATCTCTGATTCTTGTTTCGTGATGCCACCGCCGAAGAAGCGACCTTCGTCATCGTCGGGAGGTAGTTCGGGACCGAAATCTTCATCGTCGGCGGGTGGAGGTGCTGGGCCAGCCTCCATGTCTTCGTCTTCGTCTGGCGCATCGTTGACTTGGGAATGACGATTCGAGCCGTTGGCGCTTATCTTTGCTGACTTGTAGATTTCATCTGTAGAGTGTGAGCAGAGGTTTGCGACAAGGAATTGATGGGACTTGAGACTTACTTGGATCTCGAATGGGATCAAGCTTGCGCTTCCCTGAGATGCCTGAGCTCTAGAATTTGTTAGCCACTATTGAACTTGGAGATTGAAGTAAACAAACCTTGAAAATATCATCGACGCTCGCCATGGCCAAAACAGATGGGGATACGTGAATGAATGAAACAGCAGAATTCGTTTTCAATATCCGTAGGTGACCAAACTATCCGTTCGATCGGCGATACCTTTCAGCGACGCGCTCAAGCTTGATGATGTCTGGTGTCGGTTACAATTATTACATAAGGCAACGAAACGCGCTAAAACTGCCTGAAGCACGACAGCGCCGTCCAGGGGGTCAGGGAGATTCCGCACAGTGCTCCCGCTAAAGGCTCAGGCTCGCAACACAGGATCAGCCGATACTATGGAATACTTGGCCGAAGGCCTGGGGTAGGGAGATGCACAGGTCAACTGCCAGTCACTCGGCATAATGCGCTATCTTGTCACAGATTAGAGACAGAGGAACGCATCCCTAGGTACCGATACCTTCAAACCACCAACCAAAACCCCGAGATGCAGGTACGGCTCGTCCCCTGACATGGATGGGCTGGGTTATCTGTTCCCTGAGCTGGGCTGACTGGTCGGTCTGCTTTCTGGCACGAACTTGAGTTGTTTAATGTTTGACTTTGCGTTTAACTTGGACTTTTTTACTTTTACAACATCCCCTTTTGTTTCGACAGCGAGTGTTGCATTGCGAATACGAACATAGAGAGACCATATCGAAATGAGGATGCGATTTTGCCGCCATATTCAACTTGAATCTACAACTTTCACGACGAGCAACTGTACTGTTCTGTACCTGAACTAAGTTAATTGCGCCGGAAGCGGACCTTTCGTACCTAGCTCGCGGGCCCCATCTCCAAGACGGACCAGACACACCTCACACAACGAGCGACCACTGAAGCACGAGTTTGTCACTACCAATTGAGGTGAGGGTGGAAAAGGTCCGGGCTTCCACTAACCTCCACTAACCTTAGCCTTAGCAGTCCAGGTCCCCTAAAATCGCCTGCAACTGGAGTACAAGGGAAAGGGGGGAAATTGTTGGCTTTTTGGTGAGGATCCAGTAGCATCGCTGGACTGGACTGGACTGGATAGGATCGGATTTGTCTTGGCTTGGCTTTTTTAGAAAATCGATTCATTTTCAAAGAGGATGCACGACGGTCAGGTCTCGTCTTCTCCTCAATTTCACAATCACAATCACCACCACCACCAACATCTGAGCGCGTCTCCCTCCTCTGCCGCCTCCGCAACCACTACCGTTCCGCCGCCTTGGGCTTTACCTGCCTATGCGTCCTCCGCTTCCGTATCGACCGACTCTAGACCAGCGACTGGTAGATCACATTATCCTCATCGCGACCCGTTGAGATCTGCGCTTTCGCCCTCGGCCTCTCCCTCGCTAAACGCCCATCCTCATCACAAGCCCCCGGGTCCCCGTCTACCACGAACTTCCTCACTTCTCCCTCCGCCCCATATCGAACCTTCGCCGAGAGCTGTAACTTTCCAGAGATCGGATCGCTTATCGCCCGCTCCTCCTGGGCCTGGCAACAACGGAAACGGGAACGGAATCCCCCACAACGCCGCCGAGAGCTCATGGTTATTGAATCGTCTTTCTTCTTCGACTGTGTCCACGAATTTCAGTCGTGTTTCGGCGCTACCCCCCCGCGCCAACCATAACAATTCGCGACTCGGTAAAAGCCCCAGTATCGATGCGACCACTTTCATTGACAACTCTCCACCGCCTTCCAAACCATCCCCTCGGAAACTCCAAAAGAATCACCGGCCAAGTACATCAGTCTCAAACCCCGACACCTTTGTATTTAGGCCTTCAGAAGAGCGAAGCCAGTTACCGCAATCCCTGCCGCTAATCGTAACATTATCGCCCTTGGAGGCGCCCGCTGCGCTTAGCGACTTACTCAACGTTAAATCCGAAGGGGCTGGCCCTGGCTCTGGTTCGAGTGAGCCTGGGCGATCAACAGTCGCCCGCCAGGAGGGACAGTCCCTGAAGCAATCCGACAATTCAGACTCTCCAGCGCGATCCGTTACTTCAACCCCGGGCAGCGCACGTTCAATGGCTGCATATAGACCTAATATGCAGTACGATCAGGACCAAGAGGCTTACCCGCCTCGAAGGGGGCACTCCAGGAGTCGATCTGGAAAGGGAAGCAATGATAAGGGGCGCGCCAAACCGCCATCTCAGAAGGCCATGTTACATCGTGCCTTGCAGAAGGCGAATACAGCGGTCCAGTTGGATAATGCACAGAACTTCAAGGGCGCACGAGAAGCTTATGCGGAGGCTTGCGACCTCCTGCAGCAAGTACTACAAAAGACAACTGCTGATGAAGATAAACGCAAGCTGGAAGCAATTGTAAGAACATGTCCAATTATCGACAGCTCATACTAACTTGCATAGCGACGAACTTATACGAGTCGAATTGATGAGCTAGATCAAATGGCACCTTGGCAAGAAGAGGAGACCAAGGCGTTGCCCGCCCGCCCTGAGAGTTTAGCACAGCATTCCGAGTCAGAGTCTGTATTACGATTGGATGATGATGATGATGAACCTAATGATACCGCCGTCTTTGACACCGCAACAACTGCGAGAATGGACAGTCGCAGCCCTCAACCTCGAATGGTCAACTCACCGCCACGAGATGATAACTCAGGCTATAAGAGACGCAGCGCTCAAAATAAGCCAAAACCAATCGTCACAACTCTCACACCTGAACCTGGACTTCTTCAGTCATCTTTCTCACGATCACCAATTCGACTTCGAACTCCAGAGCATTTCCTCCCACAACGACCTGCGGACTCTTACATGCCAGCTCCGCTCTCCCCCAGACGTCCACTATCTCCAGCAAAAGAAGTCAATGACATGGACGAGCCCGTGCGATCCGATTTCTCTATGAGCCATGACCAACAGAATGACCATGCGCCTGAGCATAACGTGCCACAAACTCATTTCCGGGAAGACGGCATGAACTCTTGGTTGGATCCCATTGACGAATCAGGAGGCTCGACTGCATCATCTGTTCATTCGCGCACTTCATCGCTTGGTTTCAGAAGGAAGCACATTCGGGGCGTTAGTGGAGAAACCGAGGCTGAATTCGATACCGCATTGGACGCAGCTATTGAGGCCGCCTATGATGATGGGTATGAGCCAATGAGTCCAATGGACCATAGACGAATGGTGTCAATGGACGCTGGCGAGGAAGCAGTAGCCAACGCTATGCGCAAGGTTGAACTTGCTCGCCAAAAAGTCAGAGAGACCGAGCAAGAAGTTTATGAGATGGAGAGGGATAACCGATCCCAACAGCAATACCAGTCTTATGAGTATCAAGGCACTCCTAACGACTTTTATAATGATAATTCATCCGACGAAGAAGAGAGGATTTTGGATGAGATTGCTCGAGACTATGGACTAGAATCATACAGACATCGCCCACCACCACCTCGAGAGTCTGACTCTAGCGGCGTGACTTCACGTACCTGGCACAGCTCGCAAGGATCAAATCCTCCAACAGGAGCTACTTCACTCTCTACTGTTACAGAACTGCCTCCACCTTTTACGAATCTTACACATGGCCCGGCTGCTCCTCCTCCGACACAGTCTTTACCTGAACTACCTCAACGACCTGGATCATCGGCCCAAAGTGTACGAAATAGACGACTCTCCGGACAGAACCCGAAACAACTCAAGATTGAAACCTCGAAACTCGCTCTTCCTCTACAGAATTATGCCGACGCCAATCAGGCCAAGTCTGCTCCTCTGAGCAGTCAGAACATTGACGCCCAAGTCGAGACGGATACGAAGGCTGCGAGTGCGAACCATAGACAGCCTTCGCCACCGTTGTTCGAAGCCAGTCCGACAGATATGACAGGATCTCGACCTACACCATCACCTTTTGGCCAGTTGGGTTCAGAGAAGGGTGATGACGATATCACCGGCTCTCCTAATACACGAAAACTAAGGAAGAACTTTTCGTCCTCGAGTCTTCGAAGTATGAAGAGCCGCAATATGTCTCTAACACATCTGGAAGAAGGTTCAGATTTGTCTCCTGGAACCCCAGGAAGCAACCCCTTTGGATCTCTCAATGCCCCATCAGTCCCAGCCCTGCCTACTCCTCTCGCCACGAGCTTCCGCGAGCGATCGGAAACAAATGCGGCTGGACTCTCTTTGTTTGACGATCACTTCTACTCCCCGACAAGCCCTGGCTCGCCTAATCCGCTCATCTCTGACCCTCCAGCTCCTCTTGAGCCCTGCCCTACTGACTTTATGCTTCGACCTTTTTGGCTGATGCGATGTCTTTACCAGACCCTGGCTCACCCAAGGGGAGGCTACATCAGCAGCAAGCTCTTTGTTTCTAGAGACGTTTGGAGGGTGAAGGGAGTGAAACTCAAGAACATTGAGGACAAGGTGGCCAACTGCGATTTCCTCACAGCTGCTCTGCTCAAGATCGCAAGAGTGGACACTTATGATGCCGATGCAGTCTTGGAAGAGATGCAATCCTTGGAGGGTATTCTCGAACAAGTCCAAACAGCATTGACTCGCAAGCTTGGTAACGAAGTTGGCGTTCATGGGTCTGGAGCACTGTTCAAGGACGCATCCACCGGCGATGGCGATACTGCTGCAGGCGTACCACGATCAGCAAGTGTTTCCGGGAAATCCTCCTTCTCATGGCGACGTCTTCGTTCGAAGAACTCCGCAGTTGGGCTAGGTGGCTCTTATATGAGCCGTGTGACAGCGGATACGTCCAAAGATATACCCACCATAGCCAGTCTGCCAATGACACCAACTCCGACGAACCGTCCTCCCAAGCGAGATCTGGCACAAGTCCAATTCACAGGTCCAAACGCAATGTACATGAGCTCATTGGCACGCTTGTTTGATGCAGCTCAAGCCATTGGTAAGCTTGCTTACTTGAGAGAAGCTTTCGTGCCACTAACCCATGACACAGACCAAATAGCCAGACAGGTCGAAGATCCTGGATTGCGACACGCCGACAAGACACAAGTTGGTCTTGAGCTATGCACCCGACATGCAGCGGAGTTCTTTGGGTTCTACGTGTGTCGATTTGTACTTTCGGACTTGGGATTGTTGCTAGACAAGTATCTCAAGCGTGGTAGTGAATGGGTTCTTACATGATTCGGGTGTGAGATGGATTGGACTGGCAACGAAGGAGAAGGATTGGTTCTTGAACGACGCAGATGGATTGAACTCCGGAATGATGGAGACGGAACGAACTTGGGCTTTGGAATTGGAATGGGATGGGATGGAATGAATGGGTCGTTATAATGCATGGGCAAGGCGTGATGCATTCGGTTTTCTTCTTGGCCAAGTACTTAGATGTATCCCGCGTGACGGGAAAAGGCTCGATACCCAAGCGATCTATATGTTTCACTGTTGAAGTTTAGTTTTATGAATGAGATTGGATGAATAGCATTGTGATAGGTTCCTCTGGAAGTTTGTATTGACAGGAACAGCCATACAATTATTGATGCGTGTTAGGATCAAGCTTGGTGTCTTGTTGCACTCTTGATTGTGTTTAAATACGCAGGCTATCTCATGGTTCATGAGCCTTACCTCCACTTAAGTTATGATTTCTCTGCTAAATATCTAGTACCTTCGAAGTAACAATTATGAATGAGTGTTCAATTCGGTTCTCGAAGCCAAACATCTCCAGATGCTATCCGGTAATATCACGGAAATACGGACAATGGTAAGGGTACGTACCTCCACCACGCCAGAAGGATTTCGTGCATCATGGGGAAATCTTCAATCTCGAATTGCGCCTCAACCACTCAACCACTCACCTCTCCCCTCAGCCATTGAATTGGCCTGAACACCGCCTACCGAATCCTTGGCCAAATGCGCCCTAGAAAAGTCTAGATGAGCCTGGCTTGGAGTGCTGGCCGTGCCTGGAGTCGGCAATGCCTCTCACAAGCCCGCTTCACCACTCCCTTCACACCTAGGATATATACAAATCTCCGCCGATACGCTACGAAATCTACACCCGCTGAACTCGAAGCCCGAATCGCCGCCATCCCCATCGAACGATATCGCAACTTTTGTATTGTAGCGCACATCGACCATGGAAAGAGTACGCTGAGCGATCGCTTGCTGGAGTACACTGGTACGATATCTGCTAGCGATGCGAACAAGCAGATTCTGGATAAACTCGATGTTGAGCGGGAACGTGGTATTACCGTCAAGGCGCAGACGTGTACCATGATTCACAAGCACAAGGGGCAAGATTACCTGCTTCATCTTGTCGATACACCCGGCCATGTGGACTTTAGGGCTGAAGTTACAAGATCGTATGCTAGTTGTGGTGGAGCTTTGCTTCTCGTCGATGCATCGCAGGGTATTCAGGCACAAACTGTATCGAACTTCCATCTTGCGTTTGCGCAGGATCTGGCACTTGTTCCAGTCGTCAACAAGATCGACATGCCAGCCGCAGACGTTCCCCGGGTATTGCAGCAGATGAAGGATAGTTTTGAACTAGATCCCAAAGACGCTATTATGCTGAGTGCGAAGACGGGAAAGGGTGTACCGGATGTTTTGCCCGCTGTTATAGAGAGGATTCCTCATCCTGTTGGTGATGAGAAGAAGCCATTGAAGATGATGTTGGTGGATTCATGGTATGATAACTTCCGCGGCGTTGTGCTTTTGGTGAGGTTATTTGATGGAACGATCAAAGCGGGTGATAACGTTGTTTCTTTGGGGACGGGGATGAAGTACACTGTTGGACAAGTTGGCATTCAGTACCCGCATGCTATACCCCAAGCGACCCTCAGCGCTGGCCAAGTTGGTTATGTGTACTTCAACCCCGGTATGAAGAAGATTCAAGACGCCAAGCTAGGCGATACATTCACCTTCGTCGGCTCCGAAGAAAAAGTCGAACCCTACCCAGGCTTCGAAGAGCCCAAACCCATGGTCTTCGTGGCAGCTTTCCCAACGGATCAAAGCGACTACAGTCGTTTGGCAGATAGTATCGGCCAACTCGTCCTCAATGATCGAAGCGTCACTCTGCAAAAGGATCACTCTGAAGCGCTCGGTGCAGGCTGGCGATTAGGTTTCCTAGGAAGTCTACACTGTTCCGTGTTCCAAGATCGTTTGAGGCAGGAACATGGACGGAGTGTTATTCTGACAGAACCGACTGTGCCGTCGAAGATTATCTGGCCTGATGGATCGGAGGAGATCGTGTCGAATCCGGCGCTTTTTCCGGAGACGAGTAATCCCAAGGTCAAGCAGTCACAGCTATTCGAGCCGTAAGTTTTCGATATCTGTGGTGTTTGAGTATAGCTAACCTTGCTAGATACGTCACTGCAACCATCACAATGCCAGAGGAATATCTCGGTCGTGTGATTGAACTCTGCGAAGCCAACCGCGGAGAGCAGAAGAGTTTAGAGTTCTTCCATACAACGCAGGTCATTCTACAATATGAGATTCCAACGGCTCAATTAGTCGACGACTTATTTGGAAAGCTCAAGAGCGTAACGTATGTTCCCCCCTTGTTTCTTTGAAGCCGTGCTGATGTGTTTGTAGCAAGGGATATGCGACGCTAGATTATGAAGATGCAGGTTGGCGGGAGAGTAATCTTGTCAAGTTGCAGCTGTTGGTGAATAGACAGCCTGTTGATGCGATCTGCAAGGTAGTTCATTCATCGCAGGTTGATAGGCTTGGAAGACAGTGGGTTACCAAGTTCAAGGAGCATGTTGATCGTCAGCATTTCGGTACGTCACCCCCTTCCCAAGCTCACCCTTCAAACCCCGTTTTCCATGTACTAACACTCGTTCTTAGAGGTCGTCATCCAAGCCACAGCAGGTAATCGCATCGTAGCGCGAGAAACCATCAAGCCCTTCCGCAAGGATGTGCTTGCCAAGTTACATGCTGCTGATGTATCGAGAAGAAGAAAGCTACTGGAGAAGCAAAAGGAGGGTAGAAAGAGGTTACGGGCTGTGGGTAATGTCATTATTGACCAGTCAGCTTTCCAGAGCTTCATGTCAAGATGAGAGTGTTGGATGTGTACCATAGTGTAATATCATGACTGGATGATAGATAAAAGAAGAAGAACGTTCTATGATGTTAAGTTCATGTGTCTGAATCTATGTGATAGCCTTTATCTCGTGATGTGAGTCTATCAATGGCACATCACATCTACTCCTTAGCATCAACATCCTGATCAGGATCCTCCTCCGGCAAATCCAGCCCCAGCGCAACGGGCTCCGTAATCGACAATCCCAAGCCTCCCGCCATCGTCCCCTCCTGCTGTTTAACCCCCTCCCCATCAAAGTCAAAAACACGATAATCACTATTAAAGAACCAATAACCCACGACCCCCAATCTCAAAAACCCAGAGTGCGACACCACAAAGATGAGTTTCTCAGGCCTTTTCTTCAGATCCTCTAGTGCACGCTGACCACGAGCAAGGATGGATTTCTTGGTGTACCAGTATCGCTCTGCAGCTGGAGATGTCTTGTCTGGCCAGAGAGGATCGACGGGGGAGAAGTTTACTTTTGGGAAGGATGGCGAGACGGAGGAGATGGGACTTCCAGTATCACAAGGCTTTGAAGAGTTTTCTAAAGAGTGTAAGTGAGGTCGTGATGGGAGGGGGGACGGGGGTTTACCTTGCCAATCTGCATTGCCCTCAATCTTAACACCCCGATCAACAAGCCAATCCAACGAAAGCATAGCAGTCTGCAGCGTACGCCGCATAGGGCTAACAACAATAGCTACATCATCCACATTGCCAATCTTATCAGAGAACGTAGAGATCAAGTTCTCTCTCAGATGAGCGCATTGCTCTTCACCCTTCTCCGTGAGCGGAGGATCCGGCAGTGACCATTCTTGTATACATTGTTAGTTGTAACAAGTCAAGATTGTGTGAAGGGAGACTTATGAGCTACGTTGTGAAGAGCCTGAGCGTGGCGGATGAGGACAATCGTAGGAGCCATTGTAATGATGATGTTGAGGTGAAGAGCGGTGATGGGGTCCGCTTTCGGAGGTGATTGGTTATATTATACATGACGACTTGAAGTTCAATTGACTTCCGACGTGCATACACCTTGACAACAATATAAGTAGATAGTAATTAGAGATTTATTATAATTGATAATTATCATTAATTGTATTCTATACCCAATTGCAAATGTCTATCGCTTTAAATGCATGTCGGTATTAGATTGCCAAAAGAGCAGCGACGCCAATTATCATCCCCATTAGAGATGCACCCTTCGACGTGGCTGCGTTGTCTGTCGATGATGGCGCAGCGGCTTCTGATGAAGCCTCGCCTGCTGTAGCTCGACCTTCTGTAGAACTTGGGTCTGTAGCAGCGCTTGAATCAGCTGTGGTGGACGCAGCAGCGGTAGTAGAAGCGTCCTTTGTTGAGGCATCCTTTGTTGAAGCATGCTTTGTCGTCGAAGCAGCTTCAGTAGTTGACTCAGTCTCCGCATCCTTTGTACTCGTCTCCTTCGTCGTGCTCTTTGCCTTTGTACTCGTCTTTGTCGCAGCTGTCGTAGTTGAGTCCTCCCCAATCCTCTCCTTCACCCACTCGGCAACATCATCAGTAAAAACATCAAAGTAATTAAGATGCGTCTCAACCTCGTCTCCCTGCGCACAAATCGGATCCGTCTCAACACAATAATTCCTAAAAACATCCCCGTAACTCGCCAGATTCTGCAACATGCCCGCTGGTCTAGGAAACAATCCATTCTTTCCCGCACCAGAGAGAACGTTGAACGGCTGATCTTTCGTATGCCGCGTATCACCAAACACCATCGCCGCAACAATCTTGCTCCCCGGCGCTGTCTTGGGATTCAGGCCCTCCATATCGGGTTCCACGCAGTTCTGGAAGAACACACCGCCTCCTCCGCCGAGGATGTCGCCGACGACGTGTCCGCCCTGTGAGTAACCGCTCACGACGAGTTTAGAGTCTGGACATTTCTTGTTGTACGCCGTGATCTGCTTGATGCCATTCCTGACGCCCTCTGTGACAGAATTGCAGTATGGATCTTCAAGAGCATTCTGGAACTGAATATCTTCATAGTCGCAGCTCTTTAAGCCACTGCAGATAGCACCGGCAAGTTTTCCCTGCCGTCCTGGGTAGGGTTCATTGTTTCCCTTTGCGAGAAAGATGTGTACGTCTTTACAGTTGTTGCGTATGCCAATGGCATTGACTGTGGCAGCGAGTAGAAGAAGTGTTGTAGAGCTGTGCATTTTGATGATGATGTTGAAGGAAAGTAAACAAAGAAATAAAATAAAATAAAATAAAATGTCACGATAAAAAGAAGAATACACGAGACGAGACAAGGAACGACGCTGCCGGTCACAGAACCTGTTTCATCAGCTGAACAAGGATCCCCTGAATGCGCCCCGGGTTTCAATCTATCTCGCCCACAGCAGGAAAATATGGGACAGACAGATCGACAAACTTGGGCAAATTTGCAGTGTTGCACTGCGATAACGGGGCCACTCAGGCTAATCAAGATGTGTCAAAAAGATGGGACTCGTTCGTATACACGAGTCTAATTAATTGTTTTATCCACTTGAGATGTCATCCAAGGGCAATTCAGCTGGAATGATCTGATTTGACTGGTAAAAATGTCTCTGTTCAGTGTTGACTGACTCAGTCAGGTACGCGAACTGGAGAAGCGATGACTTGTTCAGAAATCTCTTCAATACGCTTCTGAGTTAGCACACACTGGATAATCTAAATCTCGTTTGACGATTAAACGTCTATCAGAGTCTGCCAAGGATGTCTTAGATCATAGCTGTCATGTCTGACGGGGATGGACTTACCGGGGCCTCGGGTGACAGAAGACCTAAGACACTTGGCATTGTCTAGCCAAAGAGCCTGCTGATTTATACGAAATTGCCTAGGTATTAAACTTTCTCACCTCCACTGGTCTGGGTATATGTTTGTCGTTTAAAACTTCTCAAGATGAAGATGCGCGATCCTGCGTTGTGGCTCCTGTAAGTTGGCATATCTCTAGCTGCCCAAGTGAGCTATCAGCCAATGTTGGCTTTGACGTGTAAGGCGTACCTTGCCACTTCCGTATGCTTTATCGCGCCTTCAACTTCTTCACGGCGTCATCCTGGGTCTGGTCCATGAAGTCTCATCGCTGCCACCTCAACCGCCGAGTATCTTATCGACTCCACTCTGTTCTGCTTCATGAATGGTTATCCTTTCCTCCATGTCGTCTCTACCCTTGCAAAGCTGTTCAATTACCCTTCCAGGTGCCTTAGACTTTCTCTAAAACCGCCAGTGGTTATTTCATAGCTGCATCATAACCGCTCTCAACGTCAATGTAGGTTCGCGGTTCGTTCTTCAGCGTATAGACCTCGATCTCCAATGCAGACGTTCCTTCCGCAAGGTGGAAGACTACTCTACTGACACAGACTGGCTGCTGTACTGACTTCCTGAAAGTCAGCACCTTCGTGGTCCCCAGTCGCCAGTAGAAACTGGTCTCTAGAGGGAGGGATAGGAAGTAGTTGGCTGGCTTGTTTAACGACCGTAGTGTCGTCGCCATGGCATAAAGCTACACGGTCAGTGTGCGAGGGTAGTGTAACACGCTGGTGAAATTCGTTTGCGAGCGCGCTTAGTGTTGAATCAGGTAGCTTAGATGCTTCTGAGTACATATAGCATGCTTTGACCATAGATAGCGAGTATATTGCATCCAAAGCCCGACCAGAAAGCATACTCTTGGTGTAAGAGGCATGTTACAGGCCGTCAATACACTGATAGTCAAACTTATAGCTGGATTTAGCTTTGTATTAATTTTTATTAAACTGTACTGGCGGTACTTGGGCTGTAGGATATGGTGAGGGATACAGTGGAAGATGCAGTAGCAGTGATATTGACGGGCGTGGTACCGCGAGCTCTCTTGAGGTAGCTCAGAGGGGTGATGTTGAAGGGCCGCTGTTGGGTGTACATCTCCCGAATGCTCGATCTCCATTTTGATCTGGTGGATCTGGGGCCAGGTTGATCCGACTGTAGGCCACAAACGAGACCAAAGAAAACGGCTTCGTAAACAGGCGACAACCTCAACTCCCAAGGAAAATCGAGGAGCCAAAGGGGCCCCTCCCGCAAGCCCTGACCCTTCCAGCAAAGGGGGCAGTGCGCTCGTTCAATGGGGGTGTCATGACATCGGCTGTGGTGCGAGGAGCCTAGTCTCTTGGGTAGCATCTGGGCCGCTCCACCCAAGGCGATGATGATAGCAAGCATATAGCGTTGCCGAACTAGGTTCTGATCTTATTGTGGTCTCTGTTTCGTTGGTAGACCACTCAAGCTTGAGTCTCCTGTAAAAGCAGCGAGACGTAAGGAAGTCCTGATCATTCCAATTAAGGAGGTAGCACGCCTGTTGGGACAGGTCGCGGGATTCTACAACGGCTATGGCACGAGGGTGCTAGTATACTTTGGTGTTGTGATGATCTTTGTTAAGTGGATGATAACAAGGTGAGGACAGTCAGTGATTTAGGGGGTGACTGTCAGGCTTCTTCATGTCACTCAGGGGTAACAGGTAGCTGAGTTATTTGATCTGAATCATAACGATCCTTCATTGTTCCCTACTGTTCTGACTACAAGAGGTAAAGCCTAGTATCCCAAAATCTCATCCTTACGCTTCTGAAGCAAGTAATAATACTCCTGAATCGGGGTAGCCTTCGTTGGAACCCTCTCACCCTCAAACTTACCCTTTCCATGACCATTGAAGTGAACCTTCCAAGCTACTCATCGTTAGCGCCCTACATCACATACACAAGGTGTGAAAAACCTACTGCTCGCGTCAAAGCCGAGGTATGACCAGCTATCATTGAGATAAGCCTTCTCAGTGCCAACCTGGATAGTCTTGACAGTTCCCATTTGCCCAGGTGCAGGGCGAAGTTCCTTGAGGTCCGCGACGAGCTTGATGAGACCTGTGACGAAAGCGAGGGCGACGTCTTTGGCGATGCATTCGTGTTGGCCGTAGCTGAAGGCCGAGACGTCTTCTTTCTTGCGCTGGGGGTTGAACTTGCCCGCGTCGGGAACTTCCTTGGGGTTACGGCCAGCTTCGCCCTGTTCATGGTTAGATATGATAGACTTGTGAGGTGGAGGTGTAACTTACGAGCATAAGAACAACGGCGGTGCCAGGCTGGATAGATTGACCTTGGACTTCACCAGCTATAGTCGCAACACGTACGTTGCGCTGAGAGCTCGTCATGCGCTGAGCTTCAGCAACGTAGGCATGAAGGGTCGCATCATCACCCTTCTGAGCAATGGCCTGGACCTCAGCCCAGATAGCCTCATTCTCGGGACGAAGGAAGAACGACAGAACCTCGTAGAACTACAGATCATCAGCACACGAACTTCAGTCTTCTCACCAAACTTACAGCAGTGACAGGGACACCAATACCACCAAAGGCAGTAAGCCAAAGGTTGTCAGTGACTTGATCAACATTATTCCCCTGCGCGAGCAACTCCTCCACAAGCTTAAGACCACACGATCTCAGTGAATCCTTCTTGAGGTACGATCTGGCGCCGATCCTGTTAGCAACGGCAGATACCAGTCCAATACCTCTTGGGCGTCCAGCATCAGCCTCCGCAACAATTGTCTTGGTAGTCTCAATCATCTTCTTCGCACCCTCTTGAGCACGACGACGACGGTTCCATGCTTGCGCTGGATCGTTGTTGTTAACGCCCCAGACGCGAATGTCGAGAAGACTGCGGTACAACTCTGCAACACCGAGTTTACCATCGGGATTCTCCTCGGTTCGCAGATCAAAGTAGAAGAGATCCGCGAGAAGTTGCGCGTTAAGAGGGATAGCGACATCGCGAATGATGTCGATCTGATCAAGACCCTTCTTAAGAGTGAACGTCTCCTTGTTAATAAGCTTCGTACCCTCACGCTCAATAAACGCATGAACGGCATTGTGCATGTTGGGAATCTTGCTCATGGCCTTGCCAAAGTTAGCGCGATGGGTGTAGTTCTGAGGCTGAT